CAACTTTCACATGAATGCATCTGAACAGACACTGCTGAAATGGCTTTTAGCACTGGAGCAACCTTACATTATTATTACTAATATGACAATTTCCACTGTATAGAAAAAAAATCAATGGACCAGATAAATGCTTGAAGTGTCAGACAATAACAGCGCTGTTAGGACGTCTGAGAATTCATTTGCTCCATTTTTCCCCTGGAGGAATCAAGTTTCTTTTTAATCGTTTTTCTTTCTGTACGGCGTCACATCATCTCTAATGAGCACTCTGAAGAAACCGAACCACTACAATTCATGAAAGGCAACCTGCTGTGCTTTAAATTACACTGATACAGTTAACCTGATTTGTGCAAGTTGGTTTAAAGTGACACTACAGTCTTCCTATACTGGTTTTTAATCTGCCTGTAAAGAAGTTTGCCCATTTCTCCACGTCCATGGCTATAAATGCACAATGTAAAAAAAATCTTCATACTCTTTCATATGAGAATGCTCATCTTTCTCATCCATCTGTTTGATCAGTAATGACTGAAACCCATTTTAAAAGACTGAACTTCCCCCATTAGATTTTATTCGGGAGAGCCTTCAATCATTTACAGCTCCTTCAAAATCTAGTGGGGTGAGTCTGAAAGACATTTCATGGAGTATTACTGTAAATGCCAAATAAAGAGGAGTGAGCATAAATACAGCTCTTGACTCTTTGCAATCAGGCTACGTGTAATACAGAAATTTGGCTGCGTAAACATCCATCTTGTACAGGTTTTGTCATTTCATGATTGCTTTAAAACAGCGAGTGGATCAGTTGCACAGCTGCTATAATGTAGTACAGTATTGTAATCAGTCTTCCATAGGAAGAAATCTCCTTTTAAAACTGAAAATGTAAGCATGTACTTCTGCTTTTTTGGAGCCAATCTAAAAAGGCTTTGAATATGCAGATGCTTAGATTCATATGGTATCATGCATGTGGTTAGCTGTCCACAATAATCAGACAGATTCATGCCGTTTCTGATGTAGATTCTTTCCTTTTTTGTAATACATAAATGTAATGTTAATCTTTCTTAATTCTATAGTTAAGCTTTGTAACTGAAGTGCTATTTCTAGCATTGCAACCATCAACTATCTTCAGAGCGTGGCCATAGAGAGCTGGTTTCATGCATGTTTTCCCATGTTTTCTGCAGACTGGACATGGCTCATACAGTAGATGCAAACAAAATATTTATGATTTAAAGTTCCACTAGCAGCCCATAATTCTATAAAGCTTATTACACACTAGAAAACAATTTGAAAGAGTAGAGAGAAGCACAGTAAGTAGAGGCGAGTTTGCTAGATTTTCAGCACTAGAAGGCCAAAGCAGTATAGATGGATAGGGAGGTGCCGAACGGAGGCGTTGCTGTTCCCAGTCAGCGTTAACAGCATGTGATCCTGACAATTATTATAAAGATGCAATATTCTATGTAAATTCTATTAGTATGATATATTAGCATTAATGCCAGTACTGTTAGATAGATGAGAATTCAGTCATTTGTTTTAGAGGTAGCATGTTTGGACAAAACAAACAAAAAACCCCATAATGGAAGTACATCAAATATTCACTGTTTTTTGTTTGTTTGTTTTTTTAAACATAATCATATCCTTCTGCAGCATCAATGTCCCCCCCCCCCCTCCCTATTATTTACCAAGCCATAATGGCCTGACTGAAAGTTGACTGAAACTTGGCATAAATGACACTTAATCCCAATCAATTTGTAAAAAACACTCTCCCTAACCTTCCCAACCATGGAAATGAGACGCTCCCGAGAACAGACTGATTTTGAAACCGGTCACATCTAATTATAGCAGGTAAACAAATCATGGAACTAATTTATCTGATGGTAGATTTAAAAAATAATTCTGTATTCTTCAGATGTTTAACATGATCTCTGATAGCCAATTAGATATATGAGTGTGTCTTTACTTCAAAGCAGGAATATAAAGGTACTTCCCCTTATGGGTGTGTAACTGCACAAAGCACTAAATGCAGCCAGTATACAATTGCAAACCTCCCCACAGCTGACTGAAATTCTATGTATCTACATTAGCTGCAAAAGAGCACTACACAGTAGCAATTAGAGCAATATTCACATCAGCTAAGATATGTGCAAATGTCTGTTGAGAAACATCCTATCCAACGCCGCACTTCTCCATTCTCTGAAACACCTACACATCCCATTCCACTCTTAATCAAAACTCTAGTATTGTGGTCAATATTGTAATCTGCAGACCTTGTTATTTATGACAATCATATAAAAGGAATAACTTAATTAGGATTAAACACCTTAACTGAGATTTCTGACAGAACACGTATGTGAGAGGCTAGCTCTGGAGTGTAGTGGGCCCCGGCTCTCTTTTCCACCCCCTTGCACACACACAAAGCGAGGTTATGCTGAACCTGTGTTGAACGTTCATTTGAAGAGGCCAATGCACCATTTTGATGGCTTTTCAATGTTCCTTCTAGACCGAGTTGAATGCTGCTTAGTTTCAGTAAAGACACTGTAATAAAATGTCAATTTGTGACATTTAAAGGTGAAACATACGAGACTGGCAGCTTAAAACTGCTTAAAAATTAACAAATTATCAGAAGATTGTATGACAGCTACTGAAGTAAGGATGATAACGAGGTAGCGCCAGCCCGTACTGAAGTGTAATACCGCACTGTATCTCAAGGTGAGACACTGAGTCACTGTTGCATAAAGCCTGCGTCAGTCTAACATGAAGGAAGGAAGAGCTCTTCCCAGAGATTGTATTTTTCTTTTATAAGGTGTAAAACAGTGGAGCCCAACCTGCTATGGTCAGTTTTAGCCTTGTGCTGTTTGCTGCACTTATCCTTCTTTGCAAAGTAAAAGCAAAGTTAAAGCAGCACTACTTCCAGAGGAGCTGCTCCACGACGCTGCAAAACAACACTGACCTTTTCGAGAGTAAGGTGTTCAACATATTGCACCTTTAACGATAAATAAAAAGCGACCTGAGAGCGCGTGTGGGGGTGAACCAAAGAGAGCAAGAGTACTGAGAGAAGTTCAATGTAAATTCATTTGGTAGATGTGTGTCATAGATTTTTTTTGCGCAATAATACAGTATCTGAAACTATACAGCATTGGAGCACGAACAGTGAAGGCAAGACGTTATCCCATGACAGTTCCATTGAAATTTACTGAACACACCTCATATGCATGTTTCCTGTATGAAAGGTAGAAGCTGGATAAGCTAGTACAGGCTGTGGGGTGCTAGGAGTTGATTATGATTTGATAGGCTGAGCCGTTTTCTGGGCGTGGCTTGGCTTCAGTGGTAGTGGTGGGCTTCGGAGGCCAGTCGGGGTCCACACTGAGCTCCTGGGCAAGGTGCATGTAGCGAGCTTTGGGTCTCATCTTGCGGGGGCAACATTGGCAGGACAGACACTTGTGTCCATACAGATCATTGGCTCCCTGTGAACACCACAACATGAAAAACAATCAAATGAGTAAAACTGCAAAAGGTTCCCTGACAGACAAAGTTTGTATGTGTGTTTTTTTTAATGAATACTTGAACAGCCAAATCAAACAAAACTGCTACATGCAAAATATAAACATGCTCATATAGTGTCAAAGTTGTAATATGCATATTTCTTGACACTGATAAACTATAACAACTGTGCGTGCATGCAGATTAAAACAAAATTCAGCATGATTCTGGTCTACAGGAGTTGGCAACAGACAGCTTAAAGACTGAGCCTTCTCCTTAAAAACAAGCTCATGGATTCAAAGAACAAACAAAGGATCTTTACATTAAAAACAGACAAAAGTGTAACTTATAAACCACACACTGACAAGGTCTGACTATTCAAATACAAACATACTACACTTGATGAGATCCAGTGACAATGTTGAGTGATGCTAAGAAGGGCAGCAAGCAGAGGGCCTGCAGACTACCACAGGGGGTGGAGCGGTCGGGGGGGAGGAGGGTGTGTCATACTTGCTAGGCAATGGGAAATATGTATTATTATTATTATTGTTATTATTAATAAGAGTAGATGAATGTTTTGCTCAGCATTCTGCATGTCTATTGCATGGAAACATCACTTATTTAAATGACCTACAGTACAGAAAAACATTCAAACTACACACATTAGATATGCTGAGATTATGGGTTTACTTCACCGAAGGCCAGCGCTGCTTCAATAGCAAAAATCTATGACATCTAGCAATAGTTTCAAAATTTGACGTTCATGTGGCTCAGCCTGAATAAAACTGAGTTACCACATTTTAAGCCCTGACCAGAGTGCCCATCAGAGGGACAAAGAGAGGAGCGTACAGATCAGAAGAAGACTGAGGTTTTGCACATGCACGTGGTTAGCAGTTACATTAGAGGAAAAAGTGGGAACAGAGAGAGAGAGAACACCACACAAGAGTAAAAAGAAAGGGCGAGAGAAAAAGGTGTCAGATTTTTCCAACCTGTGGTGCCGGGGCGGCAGGAGTGACGCCAAAGCTGCCCTGTTTGTCTCGGCTGAACACAAGCTTCCGTAAGACGATGTCAAGGATGATGGTCTATGGGATGGTGCAGTGGGCAGGGGAAAGAATTACAGAGAGTCTGGTTTGATTTCACAAAGCTCCTGTTATAAAGGTGCGCAACTGATTTTTAGTGCCACACTGCTTTAAAGTACCAAGTATAGACGTTTTTTTTTCCTTCCATGAAACTGAGTGTTAATCATTTCATGTGAGGTTAAAATTAAGCTTATTAGTAAGAAGGCCGTGCATGGTTATTGTCTGCAAGCTCTTGATGGAACAGAATCGGCTTGCTGTGTTTTTGTCCATCCAATTCACTTCAAAGATGAATGGAAACTGCACTGTTAGTTTAGGAAAAGGCTCCATCTACAAGCATACTAAGCAGTACGTGAATGCAAGGGCAGCTATCTAAAAAGGAGGGCAGAAACAGTGATACTGCTCCAACGAGTCAGCAGGCAGGCATTAATAATCCAGTGTCGTGAAGGTTTACAGAAATAAATTCTGAAAAGCATCCTTAATTAGACAAACGTGGAGTAAAATACCCACAAATGCACATATTGTAACAAAATAAAGTCACATTCTTTAAATGGTTAACTATTAAAAACCTCACACTTTGCTTCTTTCCATTTCTGCTTTACAACACATAACTGATCTTGCTGTCCAGTTAAATGAGATAAAGATGAGCACACTGCATGAGAAAACAAAATCTGAACATGGGGAAAACATCAGCTGTTACCCAAGTGTTCTTGTGTGGATCTTACCTCCACCAAAACAGACACAGCAGCATTGACTAAGATGATGAGGAAAAGTTTTAGCCTCCATTCAAACGGGATGCAAACAATCTACACAGACAGAGAAACACTCGTCAATGAAGCGACAAGAAAAAGTTAAGTCTTACCAAGACAGCCCTGCCTTAAAGCTTTATGCACGCGCAATACTACAGTAAGTCAAAAACAAAATCAGAATCTCCATTTACATGAATAACTACCAAGAAAAGATGGAGCCTGATGTGATAAATAAAGCTGTATCCTACATTAAAGAATATAAAGTGTGCATTTAATGTCTTCCCACCTCCATAAACTCATTAATGACGTCTACTCGGTAGAACAAGATGAACAGCAGGAAAACATATAAACTCCCAGCAGACAGCACAAAAGGCCCTGTGAAGAAAACACGCAAATAAAATGTTACAGTTTAGGAGAGTTTACTTTTTTAGGGCATCTATCTATCTATCTCCATCTCTCTCCCTCTATCCATCCATCTCTCTCCCTCTATCCATCTATCTCTCTCCCTCTATCCATCTATCTCCACCTATCTATCCACACACACACACACACACGTTAGGGAAAAGTCTCTTACAATTCTTATAGCTCGGCTGCCTGAAAGGTTTGCCTTTGGAGAAAACAATAGCAACAATGAGATACTGGAAGGAAGAGACGTAGAAGAGGCTGG